GGGTCTCGTTTTGAATAGAGCACTGCTCGCGCGTCTCCTTCCTTCCCGCCTCCCGTCCTCCCGTCCTTCTCTCCCCCCCTGCTTTTGACCTCGCCATCCCTGGGGGCTGCGATCTGTGAAACTGTCGCCACTTTCGAGGGCTGCTGGGAGGCCCAGCACAGTGGGCACACACCGCAGATTCAAATTAGACCTCGCCATCCCTGGGGGGCTGCGATCTGTGAAACTGTCGCCACTTTCGAGGCCTGCTGGGGTGCCCAGCACAGTGGGTACCCACCGCAGATTCAAATTAGACCTCGCCATCCCTGGGGGGCTGCGATCTGTGATACTGTCGCCACTTTCGAGGGCTGCTGGGGGGCCTAGCACAGTGGGTACCCACCGCAGATTCAAATTAGACCTCGCCATCCCTGGGGGGCTGCGATCTGTGAAACTGTCGCCACTTTCGAGGCCTGCTGGGGGGCCCAGCACAGTGGGTACACACCGCGGATTCAAATTAGACCTCGCCATCCCTGGGGGGCTGCGATCTGTGAAACTGTCGCCACTTTCGAGGCCTGCTGGGGGGCCCAGCACAGTGGGTACCCACCGCGGATTCAAATTAGACCTCGCCATCCCTGGGGGGCTGCGATCTGTGAAACTGTCGCCACTTTCGAGGCCTGCTGGGGGGCCCAGCACAGTGGGCCACCGCAGATTCAAATTAGACCTCGCCATCCCTGGGGGGCTGCGATCTGTGAAACTGTCGCCACTTTCGAGGGCTGCTGGGGGGCCCAGCGCAGTGGGTACCCACCGCAGATTCAAATTAGACCTCGCCATCCCTGGGGGGCTGCGATCTGTGAAACTGTCGCCACTTTCGAGGGCTGCTGGGGGGCCCAGCACAGTGGGTACCCACCGCAGATTCAAATTAGACCTCGCCATCCCGGGGGGGCTGCGATCGGTGAAACTGCCGCCACTTTCGAGGCCTGCTGGGGGGCCCAGCACAGTGGGTACCCACCGCAGACTCAAATTAGACCTCGCCATCCCTGGGGGCTGCGATCTGTGAAACCGTCGCCACTTTCGAGGCCTGCTGGGGGGCCCAGCACAGTGGGTACTCACCGCGGACTCAAATTAGACTTCGCCATCCCTGGGGGGCTGCGATCTGTGAAAATCTCGCCACTTTCGAGGCCTGCTGAGGGGCCCAGCACAGTGGGTACTCACCGCGGACTCAAACTAGACCTCGCCATCCCTGGGGGGCTGCAATCTGTGAAACTGTCGCCACTTTCGACGCCTGCTGAGGGGCCAAGCACAGTGGGTACTCACCGCGGACTCAAATTAGACCTCGCCATCCCTGGGGGGCTGCGATCTGTGAAACTGTCGCCACTTTCGAGGCCTGCTGGGGGGCCCCGCACAGTGGGTACCCACCGCGTACTCAAATTAGACTTCGCCATCCCTGGGGGGCTGCGATCTGTGAAACTGCCGCCACTTTCGAGGGCTGCTGGGGGGCCCAGCACAGTGGGTACTCACCGCGGACTCAAATTAGACGCCGCTTTCGTCCTTGTTATCCTCCTGCAGTCACCTTCCCTCTGCTGCTGCCGTGCTGATGGTTCGGCCTCCCGCGCGTTTTTCTCCTGCTCTGCGTTCCCGACTCCCCATGTCCTCTTCGAGCCTGTAGCTGTCGCCCCTCGTTCTTGTATGGTTCTCCTGCGCATCATGCCATAGGCACGTGTCCCAAGTAGCTTACACATTAAGTTGATTGTCCATGCAAGTTTCGGCCAACTCCTCGTTCCCATTGATACAAAGGGTCGGGTACGTCACAGGGTATTTTTTTCCGTGGGCGGGCCGAAACCCAATATACATGAAACTCCTTCCCACTTCATGGTTTTGCAGACGTCAGCCGAACGGCTGGGAATCCTCTCCCAACGGGAGGAGCATGCTGTGTCCGAAGAGCTGGCGCTCTGAACCACTTGCGCCTGGAGGGCTGGGCGGGGCTGTCCGATACCCGACGGAGGTACAAACGTTTGCCACGGGCGACAGGATCCACGCGCGCGCAGTCGGCGATGTGACACCACGCACACACACACGTGAGTGGAAATGCACGGGAAACGAATCTATTGTGGCACCCAGCTCCGTGGATGAGAGAGCTGCCCTCGTCGAGAACGACTGCGGCAGAGGGGGGGGACCCCGACCGGCCCGTGCGCAAAAAGGAGGGGGCGCGCGGTCGGCTCGTGTGCAGCCCTGCGGCCAAGGCGCGTGCAGCCACCGGCGACAGTTGCGCCAGAGAGGTGCAGCACGAGCACGAGAAGGACAGCCAGGAGCGTGGCGTGCGGCGCATGGAGCCGACGGCGCCTCCAGCGGGGGCGAAGCCTTGAGAGTGCTGAGCCTGGGCCCACAGCTGGGCGACACCCCGCGGCGACACCCCGCGCCACGCGAAGGGCACGTCGTCCCTCCGCGTGGCGCGCCAAGGGCAGCCAGCCTGCGCAGAGGAAAGCGGTGCCGAGCTCGGAGCCCAGACCCCCTCGGGCAATGAAAGAGTCACGACGGGAGGTGTTCCGCCACATTCTGCCTCGGGAAGCCCTTGCCGGGCCTCGGGACGGTACCAAAAACGACTCAGGACGAGAAACCGGTCCCGGGGAATGTGTCGAGACCTCGGGGCTCGACGTGATGTAAAACGACGCGAAGATCGGGACAAAATCGGATCGGGATCACTCGAAATCTCTGAGAATCGGCGGGCTTGGAGGATGTATTGGGCGCCGCGGCCGCTCCAGAGCGTTCCAGAACGCTCTGAGAGCGCTCCGGAACGCTCTGGAGCGATTTATCCAGATCCTAGCCTTGTTTTATGCTGCAGAAATCATAAGCTCGGGGGTCCAAGCGCGGCGAGGTGCCCGCCCCGGCGAGCTGGCTCGACGAGCGGCCGCCCGAGCCGAGAGAGAGCGCAGGGAGCGCCTTGGCGCTTTCGGCGGGCCAGCCGCGTGGAGGGGGCGAGGCACGCGGGGCCCCAGAAGCGGGGGGGCGGTGCAGACCCGGACCTCATCGCGGCAGGCCCGAGCCGTGACCCGAGAGCCGCCGCGGCACGCCTGCCCAGGGGGGGCGCGTCGGCCCCGCGCCGCCCGCGGGTTCCGACGTGGCCTGGTTGCCCACCCCGTCCAGGCTTCTTCTTCCCCAGGCGTGATCGCGTTGTTAAAAGAAAGCAGGACGTCACAGCCCCGAATCATCAGGGGTAACTCGGGTCAGGGATAACTCGGGTTCGTTTTTCGGGAACTCAAGCCCGAGTTACCCCGGACCCGAGTTACCCCGGATATTTCGGGCGTCCAGAGCCCCGAATCATCAGGGATAACTCGGGTCAGGGATAACTCGGGTTCGTTTTTCGGGAACTCAAATCCGAGTTACCCCGGACCCGAGTTACCCCGGATAACTCGGGCGTCCAAGGCCGGGGGGTTGGGCCATTTTCGGCCCCGGGGGGCCCTCGCCGGGGCCTCGGGACCGTCAGAAAAGGGCTCGGGGCGGAACACCAGTCCCGGGGAAGGGGTCGGGTCTCCCAGGGACGACGTCCTGAAAAAGTCAGGACGTCGCCTGTCTGGGGACGGGGATCCCGTCCGAGCGCCCGCTCCTGCAGGATCCTGCGGGGCCTGGGTCGCACTGACCCAGGCCTGGGCGCAGGATCCTGCACGATTTGAAGCTTCCTGCAAGGCCCCAGTGGCCCGGGTCTGGAGTGGCCCGGTCCACAAGATTCCTGGGAGAAGAGGTGTTTGCCCAGGCTTAAGTCGGGCGTCTCCCCCTACAGGGGGATTTTGGGCGAAAAATAAAAGACATTCAACAAATACCCCCAAATGGTCAAACGAATTTTAAAAAATAGTCCTCAGACTATTTTTAGACTTTTTTTTGATTATGTTTGGGGTATCTTTCATTTTTCGTCGAAAATCCCCCTGTAGGGGGACACGCCCGACTGAAGCCCAGGCAGGTGTTGTGGAGCATCTGCACACACACACACAGACACACACACACACACACTGTTTCCTCCGCCGGCCAGGCGTCGTCACCGTGGCGACTGATGACAAGGGACGCGATTACACATGCACCTGATTTCGTTTTACAACTTGGATCCTCAGCTGCTCGCCCGCCTGTTACCCATCCACCCCTTCTCCCCGTCTCCTCCTCCCTCCTCCTCTTTTTCTCAGTGTCCTCCTAGCCCTTATTTGAAACCCTTTCGGCTTAGGCGAGGGCACAGCATCCTCGTCGGCTCGTCAGCCATCCTCCCCCCCTCCCTCCCCTGTTCCGAGGCGGGATTTAGCCATAACCAGCGTCCGCCTGGTGGATAGGCTTTCGGGGACCTCGGCAGGAGATGGATGTGGACACGTGTCGGCCCCCCCGGTGCCAAACTACATCCATACCCGCCGCCCGCTGGGGCCCCAGGACGCTTCTCTTCTCCGCGGCGATGCGCATGGATATCATCTCCGCCTCGTGCCGTCTCCTTCCCCTTCCCCCCCCCCGTCGCCCCGAATGGGGGCAGCCGTCTGGCGCGCGCTGCTGCTCCACCTGGCCGTGGTCGCCGCGGGGCCCGGGCCGCCCGGGACGTGGAACCGCACCCGCGCGCGGCTGAGGTATGCCCGGAGGAGCCACGACGGCGGGCGGCGGCTGGGCTACCAGGACCTGCAGTGGCAACTTTCGGGGGGGTCGGCCACGCGCAGAGGGGGGCAGGGAGACGGGGGAGCGTTTCTTAGAAGCACCCCTGCTTCTCAGAGCTCGCGGGCCTTGTTTATTGATGTAGCGCCGGGGCCTTCTAAGAACCAGCCTCCTTCTGAGAAGGCTTCCCCCCGCTCCCCCTACCCCCTTGTGCACGCCGCCAAGGGGGTCTGGGCTCATGGGTGGACGCATCGACCCTGCATCGCCCTGATGGCCTGATGGGCTACCCCGCCCAGGGATGCTCGGCCTCGCTATCGGTGAGCTTGTCGCCGATCTATCGGCGATGCATCGCCGAGTCAAGCTCGATGCTTCCACAGCTGAGCCAGTCTCCCTCTATCGTTGCCCCTCAGGACTGGGCCCCGATGCGGGTCTACGTGCACTACGACCAGGCCAGGACCAATTTCGATCCGATCGGTCCAGTTCGGTATCGGTTTCGGCCGGCTCTCGATCCGGCTCGGTCCCGGCATTCAGACGACCCGATGCGGCCCGGTGCTTGTGTGGTATGGCGTTGCTGTGCGTCCTGGCGCGGCCGATCCGATTCCATTCCGACTCCGGCACCCACGCGGCTCAATTTCGGCACAACATCCGATCCGATCCGAGCTCTCGATTCGCGGCTGGTCGCTCCTGACAGGTCTTGGAGGACCTCGACTCCACAAGCGACGTCGAGTACCTCGTCTCCGAGGTGCTGATGGCCGCGGTGCACTGGCTCCAGTCCGCGCTGAGAGTGAGGCCCGTGCTGGGGAGGCTGCAGTTCGCCCAGCACTGCGACCTGGTGTCCTCGCACGACGGGAGCTGCTGGCGGGTCTCGCAGGACCTGGGGCGTCAACCCTGACATCCTCGCGTTGTGGAAACATCTTCCTCCTCCTCCTCCTCCTCCTGGACCTGCTCCTCCTCCTCCTCCTCCTCCTCCTCCTCCTCCTCCTCCTCCTCCTCCTCCTCCTCATCATCATCATCATCATCATCATCATCATCATCATCATCATCATCATCATAATCCTCCTGGCAGCTGCCCGACGGGCGGATTTTTGCCGTGCCGGTCGTCCGGGGGCCCCTGCCAGGCCCCGTGACCGTCAAAGGCCTACTCCGGCGCGGTGCCGCCATGCGTCTGCGCCCATCGAGAGCACGGGTGAAGCTCCCTGTGGGGCGGCGATTCTCGCGAGGGGTGTGTCGAGGTTGCCCAGTGCCTCCACGCGTCTGCGCCCACCGAGGCCGCAGGTGGAGCTCCCGATGGAGCCGCGATCCTCGCAAGAGGTGTGCCGAAATGGGCGCGACGCCGCCAGGCGTCGGAGCTTGCCATGGGGCCACGCTGTGGAAGAAGCACGGCGCCGGACATGTGGGGAGGTTGGAGCATGCCAGAGGAGAAGCAGAGGCCACCATCACCTTGGGGACCCATCGGGAGAGGCCGCACCCCTGGGCGGCGGCACCCAGTACCGGAGGACGCTGGAGCGGGCCACCACCCAAGTGTCCCCCCGCTCTAGAGGAGGAGGAGGAGGAGGAGGAGGAGGAGGAGGAGGAGGAGGAGGAGGAGGAAAAGGGAAAGGAGGAGGAGGAGGACAGGAGGAGGAGGAGGAGGAGGAGGAGGAGGAGGGGGAGGGGGAGGGGGAAGGGAGGAGGAGGAGGAGGAGGAGGAGGAGGAGGAGGAGGAGGAGGAGGAAGAACGCTGATGGGTTCTCGTGGGCGGTGGTTGCTGTCTCTCCTGTGAACGCCGGGAGCGTTGTAGAAAAACGACCTCGGCTTCGTTGCATCTTCGCCCTCGGGGGCAGCCCGCGGATGGCGGCGGAAGTGATCTGGGCATCGCTCGAACGTGTGTATGTTTTCCTCGGCGAGGACCATTGAGGAGCATCTAGGGCCATTATTTTCGAAAAATACACGCGCGAAATCGAAACACATTCGCGGGAAGTGGACGTCCGAGCCATGGCAGTGTCCGCCGTCAGAGGCTGGCAGGAGGCGGCAGAAGCATTTCCCGAAGAGACGCCATGAGCATAAACTTTTGGCGCTCCGAGCGGATTTCTTCGATCAGCGCTGGGCCTCCCCGGCGGCGCCTCTGGCGCCGCCCCTGGCGCGCTCTGCGCGCCAGGAAGGAGGGTCCGGCGCGGATCCAAGGAATCCTCGCGGAGCGCCGACTGTCTATGTTTATAGCGTTTTTTGTTTCTCCACTTTCGTGAGACGTCCGTGTGTGCTTGTTGCCAGGGCGCCCAGAAGCGGCCATGCACACCGCCCCTGGCCAGACCACTCTCGGCCACAGGATCGGTGTGCACGCCTCCCTGGCCAAGACAGGAGGGCGCAGAATAGACCTTTGCCACGGTCTCAAGGGGCCTAAGGGCACAACTAAATATACACAAATCCCAGGATCCCCAATGTTTTTTCCATATTTTCTGGGTTTTCGTCTTCCCCTCCACTTCCCATATTTTCCCATAGTTTCCTGGGAGTCGGCGATTGATTGTGTCTGTGTGTGTGTATGTGTGTGTGTGTGTGTGTGTGTCTGTGTGTGTGTGTGTGTGTGTGTGTGTGTGTGTGTGTGTGTCTGTGTGTCTGTGTGTGTGTGTGTGTCTGTGTGTCTGTGTGTCTGTGTGTCTGTGTGTGTGTTTCCCCCCCTGACGGTCGGCGTACACGCGCAGATCTCGTCGCCTGGAGGATTTCCAACGCTGCGGCGATGCCACCGTCCCCCGGGAGCACTTCGCCGACCAGAGGTACTGCGACGGCTCGGGCAGCTGCCAGACTTCGGCGGGGGGCGAGGGCATCCCCGACGCGGACTTCGCCCTCTACGTCAGGGCGCGCGACACGGACTGGTGCAGGGGTGGAGGCACCCTGGCGTACGCCGGCCACTGCTTCCAGGAGCAGATGCAGCTGCATAATCATAAACTTTCGGAGATCCGTGCGGAGTTCTTGGATCTGCGCTGGCCCCCCCTTGCGGCGCCTCCAGTGTCCCCCCTTCCGCGCTTCGCGCGCCAGGGAGAGTGGCCCCCCGCCCCCCGCCGATCCAAGGATCCCGGTCGAACCTCCAAAAGCTTGTCTTTGTGCCGCTTGTTGCCGCAGGCGAAAAGCACATCCGTATCCACGGCCTCGCGGGCACGGACCCCTGGGCCAGGACCCCACGGATACAGGACTTCTTTTGGCGGATTCCCCGCGCGGAATGTATCGGTGCGACCGCGTATCCCCGGGGTCGCGCCGCGGAATCCAGGCCGCGAGGTCGCGGATAAGTTCGCCGATCGTGATGTTGTTCCGCTAAGGACGAGGAGGACCGGCCGATCGCGGGGTACATCACCTTCTGCGAGTCCGCCATGTTGTCCAACCGGGACTGGGACGGGGACGTCGGCACAGCCGTGCACGAGCTTCTGCACGCGATGGGCTTCAGCTCCCACGCCTTCCCCTGGTTCCGGGACGACCTGGGGCAGCCGCGGACGCCGCGGGATTCCGAGGGTTTTCCGCCCATCAGAGGATCGAGCAACACAAAACGGCATAAGCATAGATTGTCGGAGCTCCGCTCGGATCTCTTGAATCAGCGTCGGGTCTCTGGCGCCGCCCGTGGCGCGCCCCGCGCGCCAGGGAGTGGCGCCCCGGGCAGATTCCGGGGGTCCGCGCGGTTGATGTTCATCGGTTTTTGTTTCAGAAGGGGGCGCCTACGCGGCGTCGGATTCCACGGTGCTGGAGGAGAGGCACGAAGATGGCACGCTGAAGCACTTCGTGGTGCTCCCGCGCGTGCTCGCCGCCGCCCGCGAGCACTATGGCTGCCCGACGCTGGAGAAGGCAGGGCCGGGCGCGATCCGACGCGGTTCCAGTCGATGCGCGGGCCGGGCCCGCGCGACTCCGCTCCGATCCGATCTCGCTGCACTCAGCGGCATCGGCTGGGGCCGATGCCGGCGCTGGGTGCGGTTCGAGCGGGTGTCGGCTCGAGCGGGGGGCCGTTGGCGATCCGAGCCGACCTCGCGGCGCCGCGGGGCGCCGCCAAGGTGCCGCTGGAGGAGCAGGGCGGCGACGGCTCCGCATTCTCCCACTGGGAAGCGCACTACGCGTACACGGAGGCCATGACGCCGCGGGTGTCCGAGGTCGCGCGCGTGTCCGCCATGACCCTGGCGCTGCTGGAGGACTCGGGCTGGCGCTCGGAGGAGCAAGAGCTCCCATGAGAGCGATGTGTTCCAAGATTTTTTCGGGACCTGCGAGCTTTGCCCTCGCTCTGTTCCGCAGGGGCTCCGGAGACCCAGACCCCCGACGCCGTGATTGTTTCATTACGTCGAGCCCTGGAGGACTCGACCCATTCCCCTGGACCGATTTTTCGTCTTGAGCCGGTGAGGGCCCCCGGAGGCCGAAAATTGGACAAAAGACTCTCGTCCTGATTTTGCCACTGCCCGAGGGGGTCCGGGAACGAGGGCCGCTCGATGCTCCAGGACCCCTGGGCCGCATCCTGGGCCAATATCACGGCATCATTTTCGTCCTGCGCAGGTACGTGCTCCAAGGTTTTCAGGACTTGCGAGATTTGCCCTCGCTCTGTTCCGCGAGGGCTCCGGAAACGAGGGCCGCTCGATACTCCAGGAGCCCTGGACCGCATCCTGGGCCAACCATGGGTTCATTGTCGTCCTGCGCAAAAGGAAAAGTCAAAAGAAAAAAATCACGAAATCGTCATGCGCAGGTACAGGCCCGACTACGCCATGGTTGGGCCCTTCCGCTTCGGCAGGGGCCTGGGCTGCGACTTCCTCGGGTCTCGTTGCCGGGCTAAAGTTAGGTCGTGCCCGTCCCCCTACACGCGGATTGTGGGCGAAAAAGGAAAGATAGTCCAAACATATCCCCAAACGGTCAAACCATACTCAAAAAAAACGTCCCCATATGATTTTGGTTATGTTTGAGTACTCCTCCTGTAGAGGGACAGGCCCGACTTAAGGCTAAAGGGGTCGGGGGAGGAACGGCTGCCGATGCCGCTGCGCTTCCCCCGTCGCCACGCCGGGCTGCGCCTCGAACGGAGGGTCAGAAGGCCCCCCCCGGGGGAGAAGCCTGAGGAGCAGCAGCGTCGGTCTCTTCTTTTGTTCTTCCTCCTCCTCCTCCTCCTCCTCCTCCTCCTCCTCCTCCTCCTCCTCCTCCTCCTCCTCCTCCTCCTCCTCCTCCTCCTCCTCCTCCCCCCCCCCACGGAGGGAGCGACATCTGCTGCATATGCAGCCCGTTCCCGCCCCGCCGACAGGAAGAAGCCAGCTGCGTGCCCTGGGGAAGCCAGCTGTGCCAAGGGAGGAAAAACCACCTAGACCGGACAGTTGGCGTTTGCTAAACGGCCTTGGGCGTTTACTACACAGCCTTGCCCTGCTTGATTTCTTGTTTGGGTGCGTTTACGAAACGGCTTCGCGTGTCGGGGTGGTCATTGGTCGGGGTGGATGTTCTGCCCTCTGCTGTGTGCAGCTGCTTCGCCAACCCCCGCCTTTTTTCGGAGGCAGGGGAGAGAGGCTGGAGGGCCACCCCTGGCGAGGGGGGGGGGGACCACGAGGCCTCCCCGAGCTGGAGGCAGGGGCTGCCCTCGAGCGAGAGGGGGGACCACACCACCAGCAGGACCCTCCCCAGCGCCTCGCGCGGGTGGTGGTGTCTTTCCTCGTTCCTGCCGCTGCGGTCCCCGCCCTGCGCGTCGGACCCAGAGGTCTCCGTGCGTGCAGGCCGGGGAGACCCAGTTCCCGACCGCCTTCTGCACGAACACGGACGTGCACGCTTGCAGCTCTGGGTGGCTTGGTGGCGAGGTCGGGTGCACGTCTGACCTCATGGGCAAGGCGCTGTGCGACGCGTGCCTCCACGCCCAGGACCTGCCCGACAAGTTCCAGTATTTCGGCAACCCCAGGCTTCCAGGGAGGGGAAAGAGACTGGTACGACCGATGCCGATGCTCGTCCTGGATAGTCCTCGTCACCACGGCTGGATCCTCCCGCCTCTAAATTCGGGTCAGAACGCACCCCGGGAGATGTCTGGGGAGTAGGGGCATTGGTATTTTTTAGTCGCTCCAAGGCTGGGCGGATTGCAAGAGTTTGCGAGCTATCCAGGTGCGTGCGGCAAGTCCCGCCACCGAGCCAGCTCGGCGCTTATGTAGGGTGGCGAAGCCGCAAACACTGATGGCCGCCACATGTGACACCTCTTGTGTCCTCTTCTCGCGGAGCCCTCGCAGTGCTCATTTAGGCCGTCGTGGGTCCGGGGACCGCCTTGAGTCTCTGGGGCCCTTAAACTGCACGCCTCCGCATGCCAATGGAGCCACGGTGGCGGATTGCCCCATGTGGAGCCTGTTCGGGAGCTCCAAGCTCTGCCGCGATGACCCCAACGAGCCCTTCTCCGAGACCCGCGGCGAGTCATTCGGGGATGCCTCGCGCTGCGTGCTGTCCACGGTGACGGCGGCCGGCGGCTGGTACGGCCAGGCGGTGGGCAGCTGCCGTGACGTGCGGTGCGGTGCGTCGCTGGTCCAGGTCCGCGTGGGCAGCGAGTGGGTCGCGTGCCAGGACTCCGAGGAGGAGCAGGTGCCGACACCGCCACCCTTTCCTCGTGTCTGCCTCCTTGGGCGTCCCGAGAGGCTCTCGTCGCCACCGCTGGACTCGCCTCGAAAAGTTCGAAGTTCTGGCCAAGGCACCCCGGGAGAGGTCCGGGGAGCGGCGGGATCGGTACCTTATCGGCATCCGCGAGGACGGCGAGGAGGGCACCACGAAGACCGTCAGCGGCTGGAGTGGCCACATCGTCTGCCCCTCCTTTGCGACCGTCTGCGGGAGCGCCTCGGACGCGGGCCCCGGCGCGGTGCCCTGCCAGTTCCCCGGCGTGCTGCGCTATGGCCGCTGCGTCTGCTCCGCCGGCTACATCGGCGAGGACTGCCGCCTCGAGGACCGGGAGGCGGCGCGCGCCCAGGTGCCCTTCGGGCTGAGGTACCCCCAGGATCAGGAGTGGAAAAAACACACAGACACAATTAATCCTCGATTTTCCAGAAAATATGGGAAAATATGGGAAGTGGGGGGGAAGACAGAAACCCAGAAAATATGGGAAAATATGGGGAATATGTTTATTTGTGTGTATTTATTTGTGTGTCCTGGAGCCCCTTCACAGGAGGAGCTTGTCCTGAAGGCTGGCCAGCCGCTCATCGAGGCCGAGCGCCTCGAGGCGTGGCCCTTCGGGCCCAGCCTCGCGGGCGGGCCCCTGGGCCTGAGGTACACCGTCAGCCCGCCGCTGCCGCCCGGGCTGGCGGTGGGCGCGGTCGACGGGTTCCTGGACGGCACGCCGGCGGCTGCCGCGGAGCGGGCCGCGTACACCCTGCGCGCCGCAGGTGGTGCTGGCGCCGCCACGGCCACTGTCTTCGTCACCGTGCTCTGCGCCGACGACGAGCCAGGGTGCACCGTCCATGCGGCCGCCACCGCCACGTACACCACGACCACGCCGGAGGTCTGCGTCGGCGACTGGGTCCCCGCGAGGGACTGCGCGCCCGCCTTCACGTACAAGGGGCAGTCGTACACAGGGTGCACGACCACGGATTACAAGAGCTACGGCTGGTGCTCACACGCGGAGGCCTACGACGGAGCTTGGAGCCCCTGCAGGCCCTGCTCTGCCAGCGGCGCCGCTGGCGTGCCCTGCGTGGACGGCTGGCTCCGCGCTCCCGAGTGCATGTCAACGTTCGTGTACATGGATTCCACGATCGTCGGGTGCACCAGCATGGGCTCTGCGAATGACTCTGGGCTGCCCTGGTGCTCCCACACGTCGATTCACGAAGCTGGCAACTGGAGCTACTGCCAGCCTTGCCTGGAAGACATCGGCACCCTCCTACCGGACAGTGGGACAACGAGCGAGCTGTCGATCTCGATGCCGGCGCTGCTGTCGCAGATCCAGGACGACCCAGGCATCCAGGCATTCCTCGACGCCCTCGCCGCGTCGGTCTCCAGTGCCCTGGAGGAGGAGATCTCGGCGCCCCGGCTGTTCTCGGCGGGCGCCAGCGGGACCGTGGTGGAGTTCTGTGCGCCGGCCGACTGCGTGGACACTGGGGGCACCACCGCCCTGCGGCTGGCCGCGAGCCTCGCGGACCCTGGCTCGATGCTGATGCGCTCGGAATTCGGCAGGAGGTACCTCGTGGGCGCCGTGCTGTTCCGAACCACGTCCCTCGGGGTGGAGCAGCTCTGGCCAGCCCCGGAGGACGACGGCGCCCCCGACGCGGAGGGCGGCGTCGTCGGCGGCCTCCTGGACCTCTTCGGCCTGGACCTGAGCCTCGACTCGGTGGACCTCCTGCTGCTGCTCGGCGCGCTCCTCTTCTGCGCCGCGTCCCTCTACCTCTGCGTCCAGGTGGCGCGGAAGCGGCGGGGGGCGGCGAGCGGCGCGGCGCCGGGCGAGGGCGTCGGCGCGTCGCTGGCGGGGGCCCGCGCCTGCGTCGGGCAGGCGGCGCCAGCGCCGCAGGTGTTCGGGCAGCAGCTGCGGGCGCCGGTGCGGCAGCAGGGCCTGCCCGAGCTGCAGCCGCGGGCTGCGCCACCGGACAAGGACCGCCTTGACAGAAAGGGGCGGAGGGAGCTCCTGGGGGCAGTCTCAGTATCGAGCGAGGGCTACCAACGGCTCGATTCAGGGGCCGTTGAGGCCGGGATTGCACAGGATTGATCCCCGGAGCAATCCCTATACTGAGCGGACCTGCGCGGGATTATGCCGGCGCTGGCTTGTTTCCGGCCACGGCTTGTATACCCGCGCCGGGGCTTAATTTCACTTCCCAGGAGTTGCAGGCTTAATTTATCCTGCGGGGGGCGGCCCGTCGCCCGGGAGGGGGGGAGGGGGCGGGGAGAGGGAGGGGGAGGAGAGGGGAGGAGGGGCGGGAGGAGGAGGGGAGGAGGAGGTGAGGGGGAGGGAGAGGAGGAGGAGGAGAGGAGAGGAGGAGGAGGAGGAGGAGGAGGAGGAAGAGAGGAGGAGGAGGAGGAGGAGGAGGAGGAGGCGGAGGAGGAGGAGGAGGGTCCCATGAGGGAAGCGAGTCCTGGATGCCCTTCCGCGTTCTCGGTCTCCCGGGGTCCCTCCTCGGCCGCGGGGCCGTCAGGAGTCGGCTCTGGGCGAGGGCAAGGGCTGGTGCTGGAGAGGCCTCGGTGGGGCATGGGGTCCAGTGTCGGTGGTGCCTCCTCCTCCTCCTCCTCCTCCTCCTCTCCTCCTCCCCTCCTCCTCCTCCTCTTCCTCCTCCTCCTCCTCCTCCTCCTCCTCCTCCTCCTCCTCTCTGCCTTCTCCTCCTCCTCCTCCTCTCCTCCTCCTCCTCTCCTCCTCCTCCTCCTCCTCCTCCTCCTCCTCCTCCGGGCCCGCTTCCCTGGTCTGGCAGGAGGACAGAATCGTTTGACCGATCCCTATCCCCCTCCCCATCCCGATCCCCACCATCCCACCACGCCATTAGGGATAGGGATCGGCTGCACGATGCGCAGAAGGACCAGATCATGGCCCAGATGTTGGACATGGGGTACGAGTTCTCCGTTGCCCAGGTTGCCCTTGATGCCTGCGGCTGGAGCCTCGAGCGGGCTGTCGGATTCATCCAGCAGCAGCGGTCGGCCACGCAGCAGAGTGTCGGCCGGACTGTCGTGTGAGGTACTTGCGTACGGTAACCCTGTCATTTCTCCTTCTTCTCCTTCTCCTCCGCCTCCTCCTCCTCCTCCCCATTGGGCCTCCCCGTCCCCCTCGCTCGCAGCTTTCGCAGGCGTCGGAGGTCTCCGGGAAGTCTCTGGAACACTCTGGAGGTCTCCAGGAGCCTTCAGAGGCCTGCAGATATTCCCGAAGCGCTACACCCAACAGAGGTCTCACGAGAAAACTTCCAATCTCATGCACTCCAGGCGTCGCTGAAAATCAAGATTCTGGACTGGACCATGGGCTGTTGCTTTAAGTTTCTTTGTTCGTAGAATGTTCCTAAATCTGGACCTGGACTGCTATTTAAGAAAACGCTTGGAGTGAAGCCAGTTGTCTTAGCGTAGATGTTCATAACTCCAAGCAGGGGTGTAACTGGACACGCCCGAACAGCCAAACACATCGACACTCCTCCTCCTCCTCATCCTCTTCCCTCCTCTCCCTCCCTCCTCCGTCCTCCTTGTCCGTCGTCCCCCTCCTTTTTTTCGAGTCGCCGACCCCTGGAATTATCGACCGCCTTCCGAGGGCCAGCTTCGGACCCCGAGTCGGTGTTTGACGGCCGTGGGCCGCTGGGCCATGAAACGGGCCGCTTGAAGAAGGAATGCGTTGAACAACTATGTGCAAGGATCGTGGGCTCGGGGCCTCACAGAGAACCCCCTTCTGGGCCTGTCTCGGGGTGCGTTCTGGCCAGAATTTCGAGGCGGGCCCAGCAATGGCCACGGAAAGCTGCATGAGCACGAGAAGCTACGGGGAGACCCCAAAAGGGAGAATGCATGTTAGCATATAGTGATTATCCTCGATCTTCGATCCTCCTTCTCTTCCTCCTTCCGCGAGGAGGAAGAGGACGAGGAGGAGGAGGAGGAGGAGGAGGAGGAGGAGGAGGAGGAGGAGGAGGGGGCGGGGGAGGAGGAGGAGGACGAGGAGGAGGAGGAGGAGACGGAGGAGGAGGAGGAGGAGGAGGAGGAGGAGGGAGGAGGGAGGAGGATTTGGGAGGGGCATGGGGGGAGGAGGGAGCAGCTCTGAGGGGGGAGGAAGGTCGCGGAAGCAAAGCGAGGCCGCCTCCGCTGGCGGAAGCTGGCGAAAGGCTGACGGAAGCGGGAGTAAAAACGTGCTTCCCGAGAGATGACGAGCCCGTTCTTTCTCGTCACTCATCTGGTCATTCAGCATGGGGGGACCGGGCCCTGGGGGAAGCGGGTCCTGGATCCTGGGGCTTTGCCCAGGACGAGGTCTGTATCCTGACTCGTCTTCGGGCAGTTCTGGGGCCCCTGGACGGCCCCGAGGGCCCCGAAAACAGCAGAAGACCTCAGGACCTAGTTCCCTGAGGGCCTGCTTCTTCCCTCAGGACCTGTTTCCCCTGTGGCGAGTCCTGCCCGCAACCACAGGCCAGGCGGGTGCCTCAGGAATCGGAGCCGAGCCCCCCTGAGCGGGCAGGCCACAGGGGTGCCCAGCGCTGGAGCGCTGCCGCCGCCGCGGGGCCTCGTCTCGGCTCTCGAGGGTTCGCTCCCCTCCTCCTCCTCCTGCTCCTCCTCCTCCTCCTCCTCCTCCTCCTCCTCCTCCTCCTCCTCCTCCTCCTCCTCACTCCTTCCCCCTCCTCCTCCTCCTCACTCTCTCCTCCTCCTCCTCCTCCTTCTCCTCCTCCTTCCTCCTGCTGCTTCTCCTCCTCCTCCTCCTCCTCTTCCTCCTCTTCCTCCTCCTACTCCTGCTGCTGCTGCTGCTGCTCCCCCTGCTCCTCCTGCTGCTGCAGCACCGAAGTGATGAGAGGGGCTCAAGAGGCGGGGGTCAATTCCAACGGGGGTCAGTCATAGCGCCAGATCTTGCAGGACCCTGCAGAGCCAGGCAGGCCCCTGCAAAGCCCGACTGTCCCGGGTCTGGGTGGACCCGGGTCAGCCGATCCCCGAGAGGAGGGGGAGCAGGAAGGGGAGGCGGATAGTCAGGAGCGAAAGAAGGACGTACGCGTACACGTACATGGATCCACGTTGGTCTCGAGAGTACACGTTGCGCGAATGTTCGTATCACGCGGCCCTTCTCGCAGATCGAGGGGCCGTGTTCATGTACTCGGTTGGGCGCGCACGTCCTTCGTAGGCTCCCTGGATGGGAGCAGGGGGGGCAATGAGAGACTCCAGGGACACCTGGACCCTCGAGCCCTCGAACCTCCTCGCCCCTCGAGCGTCCTCGAACTCTCTCGCCCCTCCTCCATCCTCGAAGCCGTTTCGATCATCGGTCCTCCGTGAGTCTCCAAAATCTTGCTCGCTCTTCGATCCCCTCGAGTCCCGTCGGTCCTTGAAGCCTCTCTGTCCCCCTACAACCTCTAAACTCTTCCATGGTCCCCCCCAGTCTTTCTCGATCTCCTATCGACGAACCTCGTCTGTCCTGGAACCCTCCCAATCCTCCTTCATCCATCTTCGAGCCTCGTTGACAGGCTCGACCTTCCATGGTCCTCATGGATCTTCCTTGACCTTCTATTCTCGACCCGTGTCGGCCCTGCCACCCACGGACGTGCGACAGAGGCCCTCCGATCTCACCAGGGAAGGTAGGAGGTAGATAAGAGGCAGAAGGAGGTTGGAGGTAGGTAGAGGTAAGAGGTAGGAGGAGGATCCCCCCCGCATTCACCGGATGAGGAGGAGGAGGAGGAGGAGGAGGAGGAGGAGGAGCAGGAGGAGGAGGAGGAGAATGAGAACGTAGGACACAGAGGAGAAGTCGAGGAGGAGGGGGAGGACGAGGCGGTGGAGGAGCAGGAAAGAGGAGGGAGGAGGAGGATGAGGAGGAGGAGGAGGAGGAGGAGGAGGAGGAGGAGGAGGAGGAGGAAGAGGCCCAGTGCAATCCCAAGACGCATCAACGATGTTGCAATAAATCCTCCATCCAGTTCCCTCTAGAATCCAGTTGGATTGCTAGAAGTGCCCCTTTGGAAGACAACCGTTTGGGAGTCCTCAGCCGTGCCAAACACACAATGTATGGGACTTCAGCGCCGCGAATCACGGGGACTGTCGTGTCCTGACATCCTGGAATCGTGCTAGAACGCCATTCCTGGGACTTCAGCACCGCGACTCAACGTGATTGTTGCGCGCTGACAATCCTAAGTCACGCAAGAACACCATGTTTGGGACTTCAAAAGCCATGCGAATCCTTGAAGCTGCTGCAGACTTTGAAGACGAATGTGCTCTGCGCTGAGGCGAGACCAACAGTTTGAAGAGGAGCCGCCTCCGTCCATCAAGTTGCTGCAGATTGTTCGATAAAAAGGACCTGCGCGGCGCGGCAACGGCCCGCCCTCCGCCCCGAAAACGGCTGCGGCATGCTAAGACGAATGCCCGCGGCGCCAAAACCGAGAGCGACGTTTTGTAGCCGGTCCGCCCTGCATCTTGCAATATGCTGCATGTTTGGTTTGTTTCGCGTGGGTCGCCACGCCGAAGCGACTGCTGCACGCTTGAAGCTTCAGGCTCAGGAGTGCCGAGGGAGTCTCGAGCGACACGCCCGGCCCGCCCTGCGGGCACGTCTGCGGGTGCGACAGGGAGGAGTTCCTGACAAGGACAAGGGATGGAGGAGGAGGAGGACGAAGAGGAGGCGTGAGGATGAGAGAGAGGGGGGAGGAGGAGGAAGAAGAAGGAGGACGAGGGGAGGAGAGGGCGGAGTGAGGAGGAGAAGGAGGAGGGGGCGAGTGGGAGCAGAAGGGATGATGACGAGCAGGAGGAGGAGGAGGAGGAGGAGGAGCCGTTTGCCCACTCGGGGTGGGGCGGACGCCGCCCCACGCGTGGGCGGGCGGCAGCGCGGCGGCCGCGATAGGGGCTGCAGCGAGGGGGAGGACCCCCCACATCCCTCGCAGCGGCGGCAGCCCCTGGCGGCAGCCCGCGGCGGGCCAGGCTGCGCGCGAGGTCGCGCGCGGTGGGCCGCCCGCCAGGAGCAGGCCAGACGGCCAAGCGCCCTGAGGGCGCCGCACATCGGCGTCGTCGGCGACAACGGGCCCAGGCCAGGATACTCCTCAGAGTCACGAAGGCGCAGAAGGTCTTGGCGGCGCATCATTCCAGTATGGCGAAGCCAAGCAAATGGACGTGTATTGATTGTGGCCAGAGCAACGAACCAGCTTCATGGCAATGCGCGAAGAAGAGTTGCAACAATACTTGGAGGAAGCAAATGCAGAAGCAAGCGGAGCAACGTCGACGTGATCGAGATAGTGCCACTTTCAGGAATGAGATGGCTAAAGTTCTTGAGGAGACGATGATGAGCACGAGCAAGTACGCCGTGAACCACTCCATGTACAGCCCACCGCCGAAGTCCGACATAGCTAAGTATCGGAAGTCTTTGGAGGAGAGGATGCACAGAACGGCAGAAGTCATCGTACATGGGCGGCGTTTGGGAACATGTGTGATTACACAAGAGAAGGAGTTGAGCGTCATGAAGTGGATGATGTGGCAACTTAAACCTTGTGCCATCCAACGTCGTGAAGCAAAGGATAACATTACGAAGACGGAGGAGAAGCTGCATAAGATCGAGGGTAAAATAGTGGCACTGAAGCAGGAGGCTCTCTATGAAGAGACGTTGTTGGACTACTACCACGATTTATTTCGAGAGGCAGCTGAAGGAGAGGCAGACACAACAGAACTATCAAGTACGGAGGTTGATATTGGTCACGACAGGAGGGTGGCGCTTCAGAAGGATCTTCGAGCAGGTGTTGAAGAGCAACCTCCACCACCACCACCTCCGCCACCACCGCCGCCTCTTTCTTCGAGACGAGACCCAACGCCAATCGTGGACGGCAAACATTTGCGTTGTCAGGCCTCGTTGAGACAGCCGCAGGGGCAGGTCTCCAGAGGTCTAGGTACAGTACAGCAGCTTGGAGTGCAGAATCCAGCTCAGGATGATGCTCGTCGGCCCTCAGCTTCGCCAGCCAGAACGGATCCATACGGTGGCACCAGTGCACGTACACCAACAGGAAGTATGCCAGGGAGTTCGTCAGATAGATCTGCGTTCTTGC